CTCTCTCTCTCTCTCTATATATATATATATATGTGCACATATATATATGTATACACACACACATATATATATGTATGTATATATGTATGTTTTACCTACTCTTTTTCTCATTCTCCATTCCTTCTCTTATATCCTGTAAAACAAATGTTGTTACTAATGATATATATTTTATTCTATAGGCATTTTTGATCTCAATAAAATCATTTCTTGCTTCAGATTTCCAGTTTATTAACAGAATGAATCTTGTCAGATTTTTTGAATATTCACTAGAAACCTCTCCTTGAAAAAATATAAATTTAAATAAACAAGGTTTAATATAGAACTCTAATTCATTCTAAAACTACAAGTGAGAAACAAGAGGATTAAAACCCAAAATACCTCAGCTATAATCTATTCACACTTCTCAAAACTGAATGTTTATCTGGTCACCTGCAATCATTAACACCCTAGCATAACTTAGAATTACATATATAAAATTATGAAGAAAAATATTGCCCACCAAGAATTATACATCCAGTAAAATTGTTCTTGAAATACAATAGTGAGTTTAGGACATTCATAAATAAGCACAAATAAAAGAAAATGTATAAAACCAGACCAACCTTACAAGAATTGTTATGGGGAAACTTTCAACAGAAAACCAACAATGGTGTACAGTGAGATTAAGATATAAGGCAGTTATCACCTGGAAACCAATCCAAATATCACCTGGGAATAAGTCCAATTATTGTTATTGATGTTAGTTGCTGTCAAGTTTGTTCCCACTCATAATGACCCCATGTACAACAGAAGAAAACACTACCTGATCATTCACCATGCTCAGAATTGTTGCTGTACTTAAGCCAATAGTTGCAGCCACTGTGTCAATTCATCTTGTTGAGGGTCTTCCCCTTACTCACTGTTCTTCCATGTTTGATATTACCATAATATCACCAATGTAATGTATCACAATAGTTGAAATGTGCATCAAGCCTAAGTCTTTTCTAATTAAACCATGTCAGTAGATCATTAAATTCATGTAACTTTGTGGAAAAATATTTAAATTATATTGATAATTCTACATATGTATTTATACAAATGTTACAAAATAGTCCATATATATAATAGAGCTAATAGGATTCAAAGTTATGATAATTTTGACCTGGAACCAAACAAATTGTAGGTGTGA